GGGGGGGGGGGGCGGGAAGGGCCTGAGAGGGACCAGAGCTTTAAAGAGGTCAACGTGGTCCTTAGCCTACAAAAAGCAGGTTACACCGGCGCGGTGGCTCACGCCTGTCATCCCAGCACTTTGGGAGGCCGAGGTGAGGGGATTGCCTGAGCCCACCGGTTCGAGACCAGCCTGGGCAACTTGGCGAGACCTCGCCTCTACAATAAATCAAAGAATTAGCCGGGCGTGGTGGCTCATGCCTATGGTTCCTGCTACTTGGAAGGCTGAGACGGACGGATCTCCTGAGCCCAGCGGGTCGACGCTGGGGTGACTGTGAGCGTGCTACTGCACTCCGGCCTAGACGACGGAGGGAGAAGGGCAAATGACAGAAAACATTTTTTCAAGCCAAAAGTATTTGTAAAGGTGGGAGCAGTGCTGGGGAATAAAATCACATTTGGTGGAAGCCCAGTTCATGGTTTGGGCACATGGCTGAAATATAACACTAGTGCAGCTGTCCCAGATCCTTCTGGCAAGAACCCCTTTGAGCTCCAGAGACTGCTCTGGCGAGATTGGCCTGTAAATGGGAAAACTCTAATACAGCTTGTGAGGCAGCTCATAAATTCATTGGAAATACAATATGGTGGAATACGTTCTTGTATTACAGATCGTAGGGGGAAAGGGGAGGAGGCAAAGGGTTTGAGTTTTATTTTCAGCTGAGAAGTTTCTAAAGACTTCATGAAGAAGATGTTAAAGTAGCTTTGGTTCTTTTTGGTATCAGCTCCTTGACCAGTCCTTTTTCATGGCGGCATTGTTTGGAGCTGTGTGTCTGTGATAAAGGCAAACATGAGTGTGCCTTAGACTTTTAATAGTTTCTTGGTAGAAGAGGTAAAGTTAGTGTTGTTTTTTTTTTTTCTTTTTGAGTTGGAGTCTCTCTGGCCCAGGCTGGAGTGCAGTGGCACGCTCACAGCCACCGCGGCCTCGACCTGCTGGGCTCAGGCAATCCTTCCGCCTCAGGCTCCCAGGTAGCTGGAACCACAGGCATGTGCCACCATGCCCAGCTGACTTTTTTGGTTTATTGTAGAGATGAGGTCTCACCAAGTTGCCCGGGCTGGTCTTGAACCC